ACGGGGCTTGCCTTCAATAGCTCTACTACCGTTACTGGAACTATCTACTCGTACAAATTCTTCTTTTTTCACTGACGGTTCAGTCGTATTTGTTTTGGGAGACGATTTCTATTTATTTTTAAATTAAAATAGTACGAGTACCCAAAGTATTTAACGTCAGGTTGAATCCATTCCATTATATTTATTCATCAATACGGTACTGTTCTGGTAGATTATGATTTTTTTTGCTTTGCTTGGTAATGGAAAAAAACTCAGAAGCGCTTCTAGAGCGTCATCACAAAATCACAGTTCTTTTTAAATATGACCACTAGTACAACACCATGGCACAAGACACATCGTTATATAGTTATTTCAGTTATTCTTGAACGGTAGGTAGGTACCATATTTGAAAGGAAGGGCAAGAAGTACTGAAACTATCAAGTCGCATAAGAACTCGAAATCAAGTCACGCAATACAACATAGAACACGCCACCTGAAGCAGAATAAGAACAAATGAAAATGCAGGCCGCCACTCAAAAAGCTTTACCTTTGGCAATTCGTCACGTGAATGCAACGGATACAAACACACCGCAAAAGTCAAACTACTATCCATCCCCCGCAAAAACCACCACGATACACAACATGACAACAGCTGACACTTCTCCCGTGGAGTCTTCGTCGCAGACTTGCCCCCGGCAAGTGCTGCTCCACGAAAACGCTCAGCAGCTCAACAACCACGCCGCTAACTTTATGGAAGTGGGCAAGCTCGACGAGGCCATCGATGCGCTTGCTTTGCTTCTGGAGTCGCTGCGGGATTTCGAAGCCGAGCCCGCTGGCGATGAAACATCTCGTGTCTACTGTCTCGACGAGTGCATCAAACAACCACTGGAAACGGGACACACAACTCCAATTGCGTCAATCCTTCGCCTAAATCGCCACCGCAATGACCCCCCGGATCGAAAGCGGCCCAGAGGGTTCAATTTCATTGATCGCGCTCTCCCTTGCATCGACATCCACTATCGGCCCATCCGCGTCATAACGGGGGGACAGTCCATGGGGGGCAACTTCCACGCGATTGTCACCTATAACACCGCCCTCGCGTTTCACCTAAGGGCGAGTTTTATGACCACCACCATTGCGAAGTACGAGGTGTCCACCCAGAGGCAGCTACAGCGACTGCAACAACTCGAGCTGAGGCGGGCCCTAGCGCTCTACGAACTGGCATACGAAATCCAACGCGACCAGAACACACGGGGGCCTGCTTCCATGGTACAGACCAACGCAGACGAAAGCAAAGGCAGTGTTTATTTCCAATCGATCCTCCTCAACAATGTCGGCCACATACATCTTTTGATGAACAATCCCGTGAACTACAAGCGGTGTGTCGAGAAATCGATATCGATCGAGGCGACGAAGCTGGTCCGGGCAGAGACAGAAAACGATTACGGGGAMMAAAAAAAAAACAATGATTCCTTTCTCCGCAAGAGATCAAGCCCGGCCACTGTGTCCTTCGATGAAGAAAGAAACAGCAGCACAATAGCGATGTAACCAACAGAAGAATCAAACAAAACATAACTCAGTATCAATCATAAAACACATCCACTACAACAGGTGCAGTAACCTACCGTACGGTACGGTACTGGAAGCATTCATTAAAAAGAAGAACGCAGAAGAGGACATTTCAGATGAGGATGATTCACACTCGAAACCCGAGAAAAAGGAAAATTGATGTAACAAATTTCGTAAGTACGTACGAGTACTACTAGTACCGTACTTGTATCCTTCTTTTTCGCTCTTTCTTCTCTACCATCTACCTTTTGTCAACGTTTGGTTGCCTTTGGCTGTGACACGAGAGCACGCTCGGTCATTTACGGTATCGATAAGTACTCATAGGCTTACTGAAGCTGTAGTGATGCAGTTCTTGCTTTCTTTACGAGACCTACGGTACGGTAGCTAAGCCCTCAGACAGTACGATTACTACAGTACACAAAATGGGACAATAGTAGGGGCGATTACACGACGTACTGTTCGGTGTAAAAGTAGACTATGGTACAACAAGTACAGTACAAACAGGTAGGCGAAAAATTTAATTAGGTCATTTTATCACCCTCATAAGTGAAACGTACGTTTGTTGTTACGTACGACAAAACTATGATGCGATACTCCGATTTGTTCGGCTGGACCTCGCTCGGTGGGCACATGATCACTTCATCGTAGTTCTAAAAGCCAGAAGTATTACTATACTACTGGAACATTAGCACCACAGGTGATGATAATAACAAGATTCACCCTACGGTACGGTACTGTACTTTGCTGGTAGAAACTTGTGCCTTTTGGCTCAATTCGTAAATTCACCTTACCGTTAGACTTCGCCTTTTGATGAAACTACCAAAAGTACATTGGTCCGTCTTTGAATAACGGCAGGACGAGTACTCGTACTCGTTTCGGCGCAGAACCCGCTCCTCCTGTTTGTTCTTTTTGTTACATTCTTGACAGTTTTAGGATTGGTCGATGTATTTTGATAACGTTTGTTCTTTCCAGTCATTCTTCGGTTCCAACAGGTTCTCCCCCAGGATTGACGGTACTACTACCGGTTTCTTGCATTCTTTGTTGTAGGAATATATGTTGGAACTTTCCCCCCCGTCTCTCTCAGCGACTTTTTCTCATTTCACTCCTGAGCTTGGGATTGCTCATAATAATTTCAACCTCCTTCAATGTATATGTTGCGTTCGACCATCGCGTCAAAGTACGGCAGTGGAGACGACTGTCGTATGAAGTACAGTATCAGTACAATGCACAGCATGTCTGTCCGTGCGCACAGTATGTCGTATTTAGTGGTAGATAATAAAGTAGTTCAGCGTGTGTAGACTATTTAGTAAAGTAGTGGGCACCTATATCCATACCGTCCATTGCAGCGGGGGTGATGCAACACAAATTCTAATAATGTGTCCTACTACCGTAGTTGCAATGGTGCCGTACCGTACGGTTCGTAAGTTTCTAGCGCCGATATGATCTAGTCGGAGAATTGAAAATCCAAACGTGACGATCCGGGAAAGAACACGAATGACGTTACTTGCTACCAAGATCTGAATCAAGAAAGCTTGGTCTTGAAATATATATGCCCAATCACGAACAAGAAAGATGCGCTTAAGTCAGTCAACATTTTTGTGCACGATTTGTTTGTGTGACTGGTACGTACCGAACCCACTATTTGGCGGAACTTAACGGTCCGGTAGTAGACGCACGATCGAACAAAGTGCGCTTTTCAGAATACCAGTACTCTTACCGGTCGCAAACTGACGCCAACTACGTACGTGAGGAATAGGTAAGGGGAAAAAACGATTTTGTTCAGATTCGAGGTGCTGATCTTTCGTCTCACAAAATGAAAACGACTCAAATCACAAAACAACAACAAAACAACCACTCAAACCAAAAAAATGAAACTTGTGCTCTCTTCAACTATCATTTCCTCTTTAGCTGCTCTGCCAGCTACAGTGTACGGACACGGATACCTCGAAACTCCTATGGCACGGTACGTTCAAAGAACGCGATATTGACACTATTTAGTTAACTAAAATTGACAACATGCACATTTAATCTCATTCGTTTGCTTTGGTGATCTCTAATCATAGAAATCTGTACGCGCATCGTGAGGGACGCTCTGGCAATCCATCAAATGCACCAGGTAAGTCTGCAGTAGGTCTCGATCAGATCTTTCCCTAAAATAGAAGGATGAAGTTGCTCATTTCATTTTTCCCCATCCTTCTTTTTTATTCAAAACAGCCATTCCGCTGTATCAAACTACTCCACAAGGCCTCAACAGGAACAAGAACGTATGTGGAATGGACCAAGGGTATCCGGACAACGATTACGATTCCTGGCTTGATACCCAAGGAAATCCGATGCCTTGGATCTCTCAAGCAATCTATAACCCGGGTGACATCATCGAGGTGAATAGCTTCCTGACTGCGCACCACAAGGGATACCTTGAGGTCAAGGGCTGTCCAAGGGGAAGAGATTCTACTCAGGAGTGTTTCGACTCTTACCCACTCGAGTTTGTTAAAGATCTTCTGTACGATATGCCTCAGGATACAGCCTATCCCAACCGCGGATACCTACACGGAGTGGAACCCCGCCTGAGCATGCAGTTCAAATTGCCCGAGGGTCTTGTTGGAGAACAGGTATTGCTGCAGGTATGTATCTTACGCCCGAAAATTGTTTGACATGAATCGTTTAAAACAGTTGTCTTACTTTTTCTTCTCTATCCAAAACAACATCATAGTGGGTGTATTGGACGGCCAACTCCTGCAATCCAATCGGATTCGCTGAGTACTACTCAACACCCAAACCTGTGGGACCCACCGGGCCAAATTGGAATAGCCTTTTGAGTACCTGCCCTCCCGAGTCCGAAACGCCCATCGCACCAATTCCAAACCCAAATTCTTCGGTCTTGGCACCCGAACGATTTATCAACTGTGCGGAAGTCACCGTAACAGGCGTGCAGACCCCCGCTCCTCCATTTCCCTCTCCTATACCGCCTCCTACGTCCGCACCGGTAGAAAATCCTGTCACTTCTCCTCCTGTTTCTCAACCACCCATTAATCCAGGAATTGTTGGGACCTGTGGTGGTGGAA